ATCCACAGCTCCTCCTAGTTTAGTATCGTTGGCAAACTTTTACTTAACATACATTTGACTCCTGTGTCTATATCATTTATAAAAATACTAAAGAGCACTAACCCTAAAATTGAGCCTTGGGAACCCCACTGGTGACTGGCTGCCAGCCTGATGTAACCTCATTTACTATAACCCTTTGAGCCTGACCCAACAGCCAATATTCCTGGGGTTTTTAGATTAGCTAATAGGTCAAAAGTTTGTTAGGTTGTCCTTAGCTTAATCTGATTTTTTTAAAAAAAAAATTGATTAAATTTTATTCATGAACTAAGGAGCCTTTTGATTTTTTTTCTAAGTGCTATTTCTGTGAAAGGTTTAATTCACATTCATGTCTGATAGGTAACTGGTTTTCTGTCTTCATCATTATGTTGAATGTTCACATTTAACCTTTTGTGATGTATGCTGTTGATGTAAGAAGTAAATTACTATGCCAATCACTTAAGCGAGAAACGTGACTTTTAGTCTTGCTTCCTGTAGAAACAAACATCTACTTTGGATTTATTTCATACCAATGTAAAAAGTTGTCCCTGCTCTCGTGGACAGCCCAGATATAGGGCTCCTGGAAAGAGCATTGGTGGAAGGAACCAGATGCTGTGCTGGAGAAATTTATTTTGTTCATCATTGTAAGAGCTCCTGAAAACAAAACTTAACTCGTAGCGCTCATTAACGTGCAGATACCCTTAGAAAAATAAAAAGGGAAAAGGAAAAGGAAGGAAAGGAGCGTGGAAATTCAGTGCCGCCTGCTGAGGCTGGAGCGGTTCTGAATGGCTCTGTAGCCTCACTGGGTGAGCTGCCGGCTCTGAGTGGCAACGTAAGCAGTTAGGGTGAAAAGCAGCAATAAAACCACTGTGGCTATGAAAGGAGCTAATGCCACCTATCAGAGAAGGACCAGTTCCTTGCAACCCTGTTTTCTGTGCAAGGTTTTGTCTTTGGATGAGGATAATGTAATGCTCTAATATGTCTCACTATCATGAAGGTTGTGCTGGTTTTGGCTGGGACAGAGTTAATTTTCTTCATAGTAGCTGGTGTGGGGCTGTGGTTTGGATTTGTGCTGGAAACAGCGCTGATAACCCAGGGATGTTTTCGCTCCTGCTGAGCAGTGCTGACACAGAGCCAAGGCCTTTTCTGCTTCTCACCCCACCCCACCAGTGAGGAGGCTGGGGGTGCACAAGGAGTTGGGAGGGGACACAGCAGGGACAGCTGACCCCAACTGACCAAAGGGATATTCCATACCATATGATGTCATGCTCAGCAATAAAATTGGGAGAGTTTGCTGGGACTGCCATTGCTCAGGGGTATGGGTTGGCTAGTGGAGAGCAACTGTGGGTTTTTTTCTATCACTGGGGATTTTTTTTTGTTTTACCTATTACACTGTCTTTATCTCAACCCACCAGTTTCCTCACTTCTACCCTTCCAATTCTCTCCCCCATCCCACCAGGGGGTGCGAGCTCTGTGGTGCGTTGGTGCCTAGCAGGGTATAAGCTCTACTTGGAATGTAGGTGTATCTTCCCATAACACAAAACAGAATTCACAGCTTTGGTGACTGTAGCTGAGTCTCGTGGTGGTAACAACAGACACTATATCCCATGCTGTTCTCTTTATATATAAAGGTAGAAGACGTGATCAAAAATAATGAAGTAGAAATCTTTTAGGCCAAGCTGAAAAAAACTAGACACAGTTGTACAGCCATCTTTAAACTTAGTAATTTTTAAAGTGGATAAAAATATGAGTTAGCCCCTCTTTCATGAAGTGTGCTGACAAGTACCTGTTATTCTTCCCCTGACATAAATGTCTCTTGGCAGTCCATTCCTCAGCAAAACAAAGCTTTCTAAATGGTTTTCTGATGCTCTTAATTACTTGTGGTCCTGCAGCCCCGCACAGGTAAGGGAGATGCGTGCGCCCCAGAGCAGAGGTACCTAAACCAGCTCTGAACGAGCTGCTTCACCCCTGGAAGGCCACACCACCAGAGCACTGCTCCTGCGCCATCCTTCCTTCCTTGGCTGAGCCTGCTCTTGAGGGAACACAGGTCGGAGCTCCTGCCTGGGGCTGGAAGACTTGCTGCTGTTCTGCCGGAGAGGAGCGTTACGTACAGGAGGTTCATTAACCCCTTGCACAGACAAATGTGCCTCTCAGGTTTTTTTCTGAGGACAAGGAAAGGCCTCTACCCACTGCCAAAGCTTCCAGTTGAAAAATAACAGTATAAAAAAAAAAATCAGTGGTGGGAGGAGGAAGGATCATTATTTACATCACTCATGTTGAATTACCCACAGCCATTGCAGCAGCAGAGTTCACAGTGCCCCAGCAATGACACCTTTAGCCCAAGTTATCCTTGGGTTTTGTGTAAGGGCATGGGGAAGAGACGCAGCAATCACCTCATTTATTTTGAGGTTTAGAGGGAGGCGATGCAAATGTTAACTCTGAAGATAGTTTGTAAATGACACGCTTCAGAGATCTATGAAGAGTGGGGTTTTTTTTTTAAAAATAAGCAACTCGGTCTGTGGAGAACTTTTATCATTGAATACTCCGTAAGACATTGCGCTTTGGGAGCGTACATATGCTGTATCTCAGAAGATGGTGTAAGATCAGAAGAACTACTGGTGGAGACATCCCTCCATGGGACAGTTACTTGCTCCAAAAAGGACACAGCAGAGCACTGCATTTCTGAGGCTGCCGGTTCCCCGTATTTGGAAATGCAGGTAAGAATGGAAGGTGCCAATCGGTGTTTGAGCAAGTCAGCATCTCTCCTCACGTCCTCTAAGTCCTGGCAGTCTGGCTGTTGGAATACGCTTAAGCACAACAGGCATTTGGCTGCTAGGAAAGCAAACGCTGGCTAAGCCACCACGGCAGCCCGCCAGCTGGAAGCATCCCACAAACCGCCCATTGGCCCATGCGATGTAGCACGATACTACTTTGATCAGCTTTCGTGTACACAGGACTTGTTTGTACTAGAAAAGTGACTTATATGGTGAATACCACCTCTGGGAGTAAATGATCTTTTGCTTATTTTACCCTGAAAAATACAAGCAAGTAACTGCTAGTTTGATTTAGCCTTAGCAATAGCTTCATTTTCTTCAGTGTAAGCCAATACTCACGTGTCCATTCCATCCCTTACTTCTAGCTGCTTTTGTTCCAAAACTTCTACGTCCTCCAGCACCATGAGCTTTAGTTCAAGTTGCCAGGCTTTTTTGGTAAGAGGCACCTGTTGTTTCATTACGTACCTTTCTTCAGGTGGTCAGAAAGCCAATGGCTTTAGCATTTCCTATCTTAATTGGTGGGTGCCACTGTTAATTCAAGTAACAAATTTCTGCCTATCATTTAAAACATTGGAAGTTTATTATAACTTAAAATAGCTCCTGCTCCACATATGAGATCAAGGCAACTTTCAAGATTACCCACTCTTTCACAGCTTTTTGCCAGCTTGCCTTCCAGAACCACCCAGCATCTCTCTTCCCTGATGCAGGCGAACTTCAGAAAATATTTTTGCAAAAGGAGGGGAATAATAATAATAAAAACAAAACAAACCACATCCACGGGAGTTGCGTATTTGTTGTACTGATATATTCCAGGCTTGTGTGGTTTTTACATTTATATAGTTTACATTTTGCTTGACCCATAAATAACACTTGCAAGATTAAGAGGGCCATAGTTTAGAGAGTATTTACATAGCCCCACCATGCATACAGAGCTTTTAATACCTAGTAGACGAAATTAAGCTGTTTTGCACTAAACATTTCTCAATATTTTTCAACTTAAAACCCCTGACTAAAATACAAGCAATATTTCATCCATAATGCTGCTGTTAAACCCCTAACAAATCTAGTTTGATATTGTAACAAACTTCTTCAAATTCAGGGATATAAAAATATTCAGCTTTTAAAATTTTAACTGTACAATATGTACATTAGTATTTGCACTGTTAAATTATGAATACCTTTAAGCCTATGAAATACTACATTATAAATATCAATGCTTTTTGATTTAGAATTGCAGCTAATACATTTTAAAACCTGGATAATGCATTTGAAAAGACACAATAGTGGAGCCTAATCCTTTAAGCCCTTATGAAAGTATTTCTTACGTAAGTAGATTCATTGACTTAAATGGGGTTACATGCCCGAGCAAAGGACTCCAGCAGTTGCACCTCTCCCTCTCACTGCTGGGGAACAGGGAGCACAGCATAGAAGACATCACCACTCATTGGCAGCTAAGTCCAATTCCAGCAGCTGAATTAATATCTTCCTTCAAACAGGCACCAAGAAAACCCTTACAAAGGGATGGAATTCTTAAAAAAAAGAAAAAAAAAAGTGGAGGGAAAAACATGAAAGTTAAATGTATAAACTGTTTACCACTGCTTTAGGATATATCAAGGCCTCAAACATTTCAGTTCTGATTTTTGCCTCCTTAACAGTGGACTCTCTGGAGAAGGAGCATTTTCCAAATTAAAAAAAAAAAAAGAAGAAAAAATTCCAGTTTTTGTAGGGAACCTTGGGAGGAGGAAGAGTGAGCTTTATCAATGAAGAAAGGGCACAGTATAGAGTCTTTTTTTTTCTTGGCAGTGAGAGGAAAAAGTCAACGATCACCCTGTGTGTATATAGCTACAGCACAGGACTGATGATTTTATTTATTGATCTTTGTTGAATCCCCTCTCTCAGAAAATTCAACGTAGGTGAATAGCGAGCATAAAATAAAATGTCTACAAAAAGTCTGTATCAAGAACTGCAGTAACCATATTTTGACAGCTGAAACATAATATGTAAACCTAGCAATATCTGAGCAGATCATTGTTTGGCATGGTGACATTTCTGAATGTTACTTGTACAATGTAAACTCTGGCAGGGTTATAATTTACACTGGCAAAGCATTAAGAACCTTAGCAACTTGCCTAAGTACAATTACTAATATAAAAAGATGTGGTTCAAACTGTAGCTACAGAGTTGATTGGTCTTTCCAACTGTTAAAACAATTTAAGAAATGATGCAATTTTTTCCTTTGTGTCCTCTCTTCTTCTTTGATTTGGTTGTCCTTTGTCCAAACTGAGAACTAGATAACGCAGTAGTTGGACCAGAAAGGTCATCTGTATAGTATGGATATCTCAGTGATCGTGGCTGTGGAATTGGCTGTCCTAGAAAATACCCTTCCTCTTCAGAATCAGATGATGAAGATGAAGTTGAACACCAGGAATCATCTTCCTCACCATACAATCCAAAAAATTTATCAGCCACCTGATTCCGCAGTGCATAATCAGACCTAGTATGGGCATATTGTCCATACAGCTCTGCATTTTGAATATATGCCCGAATCTCACGTGAGCTTCTATTCTGAATAAATTTTTCATGATCCTGAGGGGAGTAATAACGAAACCTCTCTCTTGGAGAACATCTTCTTTCTGCGGCCAAGTTAAGTGCATTATCTGAACGAGACTTCCTACTTCTTCTACGATGATGAGATGGCCGATTTCCACGCTCTTCAAAATGGTAAACACGCCTACGAGTCCTTTCACTCATTGGAGGCTGACGGATTTCAACATTCTCGTAACTTCCATTATCAATAACATCATCTGAGAACTTCACTTGCTGTGGTCTAGACTGGGACTTAGATCTTCTCAGCACAGGCATATGCACTGGCTTTTCCTCCGGCAAGACCTTCTCCTGACACAACTCTGAGCTCAGACTCTTCAAGGACTCTGTGCTCCGGTGGAGCATTGAAGAATTCAGAGTTCCCATATTGCTCATTTTCTCACAGTCCTCTACCTCCAGTTCTTGGAAAGTTTGCAAAGAGTAGAGAGATGGCCGTGGCTTGCCTTCTCCATCCATCGAAGCCCCTGTGAGAAAGGAGGCGAAGGAAAATGAGAGGACTATCGGAGAGATAAGTGTTGTAACAAAATATTAAACATTTTTTTTCAGTAAAGCAGAACTTATTAGTGTTTTTTTGGAACTACTGCCAAAAGGACTAGCTTCATAGAAGAATAAGCTTTGTTTGACTTAAAACATTTAAGTATTAGCTCTGATTACCAGAGAATTAGCTAACAATAGGACATCAAGAGCTCAAGAAGTTTAATGAGTTTAAAACTTTTAAACAGCTCCAACATGCATACAGCTAAGCCTCTAAGAAAAAAAGAGTTAGTTAAGATTATTCTGCAGTCCATGCTTGCCACTTTTAAAGCTAAAATATTTCATGTTTCCACTGTTGCTACATTCAACATTCCAGCTGTTGCTACAGGAAAACCAGGCTTACTGCCTCACAAAGAAGGACCCTTACCCTCCAAAAATCAGCAGCAGTAAGCTGGCCTGGTTTGTGTCCAATGACCCTTCGTTCCCACAACAACAGCGTCATCTGCCCTGTGACGTTCCCAGGTGCAATACCTCTAGTTCCTCTTCCTCCCGTGCCCCCTGAACCAAGCTCCCCTCCTCAGTTCCTTCATTACTGCTTGGGCAATGCACCATGTGGTTGGGCCTGAGCTACATGAGTAGCTACGATAATTCAGATTACAGAAGGAAAGGAATGGAGAAGAGGATAGGACAATACACACAAATTCTCTCTCTCTCTCCTCTCTCTCTTGCATATCTGACTTTTATCCCTGTGGCTAATTTCAATCATGTCTGACAAGGAGGTTCACAAAAGTGGATTATCAGTTTCTCTTTAGTCAATGGAGAAAGATAATCTCATAAACCTCATTTCCTAAGGCTAAGAAGGTTACCATCCTTTCAGATTTTCTACATATTTTTACAAGCAAATCAGGAAATTACCTAAAGTGTTTTGCAGATTATTTTTAATATTATCCTAGTATATAATGCAACTTCTTGTACTTAAGGTATGGAAAAAAATAAATCTTGATTTGCTTAAAGTGGTGGTTTGTATGTAAAAAATGCATAGTTCAAGACCATTCTTACTCTGTTTAACATTACAGATTTTTTTTGTTATAAGCAAAGGAAAGAGAAATCAAAAGGAAAGGAGAAGAATTTAAATAGAATTTAAGAAGCAGAAACGTATCTTGTGGAAGAATGTGTGCTTGATAAAAGCTATTGCCTACTTTACACGCATATCTCACTACTAAAGCTTTTTAGAAACCAGAGATATGAAGCTTTAGTCCAAAATACACCAACATGCATGCTTTGGTTGACCTCTCCATCAAAACCATTCATTTTTCCCCCATTACCTGTGATATTAGACAAAGCCAAAGAATCCATTGAGTCTCGAACACTTTGTTCTTGCTGTTTCAGGTCAGACAAACATTCAAGTGAACCTCCATACCATGGTGTTTGGTCATGTTTGTATCCTGATGCCCCATGTTCCATGTCTAGTTCCTGGATTTTCCTGCTGCTGGCAGGGCCTGGGTGGCTGCCGTATGCTGAGTCACCCAAGCCATCTTGTGACTGGGCCCAGTACATGTCTGATTGATACTTCTTACTTGCTAGGCTTGGATTATTTTTTTTCAAGTCCAACTTGCTCTTAACCATGCTATCAGAAATCCAGTGTTCGCTTGATCTAATATCTACTTCAGCAGGCTGCTGGAAGAGGCTTTTATCACCAAACTTCAGAAGAAGTTGAGTCATGTAGTCTTCATGTTCAGCCCATTCTTCAGGGTCTTCAGGCATTTCTTGCTCTACTCTTCCTTTCCAGAAGTCTTCATTAACAAAGCTTGCCTCTTCCCTTGAAAGGCTTAAGTCATCCAGCTTACGAGAGAGAGTATCATCAGCATTGCCTGAAAGGCCCGGAAATTTGTAATTGAGGGCCGGTGACAGGAGGAGAGACTGGCGGCACTGGTCGGCTGACCGGCTGCTTTTTCCCATGCGAACACTCCTCCTGGAATCTCTGGATCGAGCAGACTGAAATGCAGAATCAGAAGAGTCGGAGGCATGAACATCCTCTCCCAAGCTGCAGGTTTTGGAACAGTAAATCTGCCCTTGCTTTGGGAGGAAAGGGCAGCCAAGCAAAGAGGTCTTGCACTGGGCACAAGAAAAGCAAGTCTCTGTAGCGTGCCAGTGCTGTCCGTCATAGGTCATCTGAGCATGGTCAACACCTGGAATGGGAGAAAAGGCAATGCTTTGGGTTTCTCTAAAAATTTCACTTGCACAATCCACACTTCTGGAATGTGAAATTATTTCATAACTTGGCTCTCCCCTAATTACTAAGTTTAATGCTTAAAAAGGACATACTTACCAATGTGTTCCCCACAGGTCTCACAGTATTCTGCATAAAGAGATTCAAAACAATTACAGCAGAATGGTCGCCCATCCTTCATGATGTATCTCTGTCCACCCAGGATTGTTTCACACTCAAGGCAACAGAAGTGCTTCATGTGCCAGTGGCGACCTTCAGCTTCCGTACACTCATCAGCAAAAATTATCTTTTCAGAGATAAAAAGTAAACTTTTAGTTAAAGCAGCCAAAAGCTCACCTTGCGACTCAGAACAAGCAAAACATCCTCTTTGTGCAGTTCACATACTAAATTTATTTTTTATTTAGCTGCCTTTTGAATACAAAAATAGAGACAATAATCTCCCATAGCAACTGCAGCATTCTAATCTTTCTTTAAAGAGGAAAGAATTAAGAAAAAACATACTTTTTAAAGCAAAACACTAAACAAGAACATAAAAACTCAACAATTAAAGAAGCTGCTATCAGGATGATATTTTGGAATATTTGTACAGATCCTTTTCTAATTCAATCTACAGGATTCATTCAATTCTAAATACAAACACAGGTATGTGCTTTCTAAATACCATCACGTTGCTTGTAATATCACCAATTTGACAAGAAATTAAACATCCCTCAGCTTTCAAATACACCTATGCACCAGAGTCCTTACTTCTTAAATGAATGCATGTGAAGTTAGTAATTGCCCAAGTGAGTGATGCAGTTTGTTAACTCAACAACAGCAGCTATGTAGATTGGCTGTAAAATGTGAATTATTTACCTCATCACAGGCTGAACATCGAGGTTTGAGAAGTTCAGCATGGTGTCTGCCACAGTGAATTTTCCCATCTTGGTAGAAGTAAATAAGGTCAACGAGCAGCTCGTTACACGTGAAGCACACAAAACACGAGGGATGCCAGCACACACCAGGCCCAGCTCTCGAGGCAAAAACTGCAACTTCACCGCCATTTACTTTTGTACCACACTAGGAACAAAACCAGAAAGTGAACACACTTCCCATTCCAAACTAGTAAGCTTCTAGCACTTAAACTAAGTTAAAACACCAAATCCAATATGCAGGGTTTATTCCAAAATTCTGACAAGAGGGAAAAAATATTCTCAATTTTGGTCCAGACAAGCTCTCTGCATCAACAAAACTTTTGCGACTAGAATTTTATTTTACACAGAATAATATTTTTAAGCGTATGCCTGTTTTGCATTTGTCATTACTTTAGTATGAATCAGCAATAGGGTTTTTTGAGTAGAAAATATATCAAAGATTCAGTGTATTCCTAATATCAAAGGTTGTGTTTTGCTTAAGCAAGCACTACTTTCTTCCTATTTACATGCAGTTTCAAAAAAAATTTTTTGTGCGTCTGTTCAGACAGAGAGAGAGATAAACTAACAGGTAGTATTGAGATACTGTAGTTTTACATTATTCAGCCCGCTAGTTGGCTTGTGGCACCAGTAGTAGTACCTGTTCACAAACTGCATGCATCACTGCTCTTGAGAGTAGTTTAATAGTGCCTCGGCCGAGTGCCTCCTTTTTGCGCTGAGAACTGAACATCTGCAGTTCCTTCTTTTCTTCTTCACTTAAAGACTGGCAATATCTCACCTTCCAGTGAAAACACAGGAGAACTTATTTTAAATACTGAGCTTTTAAAGTAACAGATTAGTAAGTGCCTATATGCAAGAAATTCATCAGGCATGCTGGCAATCATCATTAAATTTTTCCAACTTGTCTTCTCTACAATCTTAATATTTAGCTAATATGGCACAACACAAAACTAGCGCAGATTTTTGCGTTACAGGAAAAAACCCCACCATACTAAACTGAGAAGCTGTCTAGGCAACAAATAAGATTAAAACAAGCCAAACCCAAACCTGCTGCTATCCTAAAATAATGGAATGAACCTAAATCAGCCATAACATTGTCCTTTAGATTTACGGTTAAGTGTCCACAACTAAGTATTGCAGTATACACAAGATCTTAAGTATTGACACCCCCGCCCCCTTTCCTTACAAAGGGCTTGTTTGTTATTTCCACTTCTACTCCAAATTACACTGCATATCTGAGATGCAAACCGTTTACTATCACAAAGCATCCTTTTTGTGCACTACAATGCAATTCCAGGAATTTGTAGGTTCCTGGTAATTGGTGGGTGGCTGCAAACACTATAAAACCAACTTGTGTGAAGTTTATTGCAGTGACACCAACCTCCCTAACAAGCAAAGGCAGTGTCTTTCCAGACAGCTCTTATCTGCACACAAGCCAACCGGACAGCTAAACAATGGACTCAGTGTACACACCGTGCTGCTCTATAGGTCAGATGCCACTGCAGGCCACCGTTTAGGCTGGTAATAAATACACAGGTAGGTAATTCTCCACGTAAAAGCTGCCAGGGAGAGGTAAACCCTGATGGTGCATCTTAAGTTCTGTATTTACCTCATTGTCGTGGGGTGGCAGCTGATAAAGAAGTTGTTTAATTCGGTGTTTCTCTCCAGGGCTGTTAACGTAAGGGACCTTCTCCTCCGGCAAGCAGGCAAAATACAGCTGGACCTGACCAGGAGGAACACAGAGTTCAGACCGAGGGACACACATCACCCGAGCGCTGCAAGTGTCCTTCAGCTACTGTTTTATCTCAGGTCTCGTTTATGAAGGAAGGAGGTTATGCTACATTAGACCTGTGACAGGGTTTGTGCTGAAAATACGTGACCCAGATGAACCAGCTCAGCAAACCTGAATTGTCTCTGATAAAACTAGCACCCAGCTGCTGAATTGCTTTTCTGGAATGCAATTTGCAGTGACAATTAGGGGGGTATCATAAATTATGCACATTTAATGTTCTCATTATTCCCACCCCCTTCAGGGCTGGTCAACAACCCTGTGGAAATTCCAAGTTTCCCTCTGCAATTTACCACACAAGGCATGAAGCCTTCCAGAAAACAGCCACTATATAAACAAATTTAATTTGTTCTCTGCATTTTACACATTGTTGAGACAAAAGCTGTTTTCTAGTCTCCTGCTGATCAGGATCACCCCAAAGCATCAGCTTTCATTGCTTCCATGTGGGCTTTGGTAAAAAAGTGGAAACATCCTTCCCTTGGGAGAAGGCTGGATCCAGACACATTTCAATCAGATGCAAATTAACTACAAAATTTTCAGGGGCTGCATGTTTTTGATAAAGAAATCAATATTACGTGTACACACTTATCAATCTTCGCTTTTTTTTTCCCCTCTTCTTTTTTTCAGAAGAAAATTATGACAGGAAAGCTGTAATGAACACTATGACAAAGCCCAATGGCAAAAAATATTTTTGTGGAACAGCTACAGATTTATTGTTTTTCCTATGCAGTTTCCAGCTTGTCACGAGGCCTGGGGCTGTAAATAAGAGCTGACTATTGGCAAAAATATTACTTGCCATCCAGATTTAAATAATGCTCAGGTCAACAGCTTATTACTGTGCAAGACAGATGAAAAAGAAGCAGTAATCAGTCACTTGAGTCAGGAAGCAATCAAAATTATATGGGAAAGGTTGTAGGAAACATGACTTGGTCTTCATTTAACCAACATTTAAACATCAGAAGTCTACTGTAAGTCCACTTACTACTGACTGTATTTCGAGAAGCTGCAAGAAAAGATAACAACACGCAGTAAGAAATGAAGCTTTAGAGATACTTTATGCCCTTTTCTCAAGTTTATTGCACTGTTCTCAAAATAAGTCATTCTTCATGGAAAAAAAAATCTTTAGTGAGTTTGAGCTAGCTGGATTATGAGGATATTTTAGGGCATTTAATTGTTCTGGCAGAATGTTAGCTTGCTGTTTGCCTTAAGGTCTGATTTATCAGGATTCTCATATATGCTTAAGTAAGTGATAAAAAGAGTTTCCCTAAAAATAGCCCATTATTTGCCATTCCTGCGGACTTGCTGCTTTATTCATGATTAAGAAAATCTCTGCATAGCAGAAAGGAGACATCTTTTGCACCGTTTTAACTATGGAGTGTATTAGCTTGCCAGCTGAAGGAGGATTGCTCTGCCTCCATGAACAAACGTTACAAAGCCACTCTACCCCTTTCACACTAAAGTCTGAGTTCTGGGTATTACCAAGTACACAGCTTCAGCACAGCTGCAATATCATCAAGTAAATGAATACCATGAGAGGTTCATTCTGATCTCCTGTAGCAACTTGCTCATCAATAATTTAACTTTTATTTCCTCTACCATTATGTTATACAAGATAAAGGAGAGAGGGGAAGGAACAGCTCAACCAACCCACAAATGCCAGCTCCAGAGATCACACAAGAGAAATTGTGGCATGAACAAATGGCAGGCATACAACTATTTAAACAAGCGTAAAATACATTACTACTTGTCCCAGTGATAGAACACTTTTCTTTATGTGTGCTGTAATAACATACGCGTTCTAGATTTTAAATGCCTAATTATTTAAAGAGTTGTACAAGTGCAGTGAAGTACTGGCCAAGTTGCACAATGCCACGAGGTATGCCATGAGCTTTAATTTAACCTAATAACTTATTTCAAAGAGAAAGCAAAATTCTGTACTGCTTTTAGACTTTACGATACATACCTCTATGGCAAATATTTATTGAAAAATCTTGATTGGGAACTTTTTTTTGGAACATAAAACTCCTTGGTGTTGAGGATTTTAAGCCCCCTAAACACAGCCTCGTTGGAATAGGAAACAAAACAAGAAGTGAAGAGTTCTAGACAAATTTAAGTTTTATACATTGTAAGAATTTAGTTAGACTTGTAGAGGCAGCCTATCACTCCCTTACACAGTCCTTACAAGGCTTATTTTTAAAATGCAGAAGCACAGTTGGTACCTGCTCTGGTCTGAGGCCTGGGGGGACCCAGGCATATTCTTCCAAGGCACAGCCAGAGTCATCATCAGACGTTGAGCTTCGCTGACACCCGAAAACAAGATTGTTGGCTTTGGGCTCCATCTCCAATGGCATAAGTGTGAAGCGTTAAATATTTCAGCTGCAGCTCATCAAGGATTGATCTGGAGGAAGAGATTAACAGAGCTTGAATAAATTGGAACATGCAATAACTAATTATCAGTGTAAATGATCTTGCAACAGTTTAGTATTCCTTATGTTGCCCAGAACAATAAATGATTGAAGCGTCATTACAACTCGCTACAAGCAATTCAAAAGTGCTTAAAAGAGTTATGAAAATTAAATTACTCAAGAAAAAGCAAACTAGACACACACTACCATGTTTGGCAACCACAATGTATTTCAATATTAACACTTCTCGTCGTTTACACTTCTGCTTGTTTCACATCACTGGTTATATGTAGGTGTATCTAGGAGAGACTCATTGAGCAGATACTAACAAAAGGAATGACACAAGCTCTTCCTGAAGTCATCACTACCACCAATCTAGTAACACAAAAGACATGACAACCACTTGTCAAAAACTAAAGAAATTGTTGGGGAAAGAGGGTTGTGCAAGTAGCATCCTGTTTTTCTCAAAGTAGGCACAGAGCAGTGAGCGTCTGCTGGATTCCTCCGAGAACTTTGTTTTAGCTGTATCGGAGCGGAAGGGCGTTGGTCCAGTTAAATATCTGAGATCCAATTATGCCAGATTAGACTCTGTAAAATACATCATGATTGTTCTGTTAATTTAAAACCCTACAGGGAGATGCTTCTGTTGATTCATGAAGCCTGCAAAGCTTAGTATCAGTGGGACCATTCTAGGTTAAAACTGGCAAAGGTGGCTCTCACCAACATCCATAGCATTCTGCAGTAAAAAGCTTATTAAGATAAGTATCTTACACTAATTCTAGCAGAAGTTTTTAGGAAATTCAGACCAGGAATTTCAGTGAAATACAGATAACCAAAAGCAGAGAGGATGTATCCTACCATGACAGACATCCTGACCGCTGGGAGGATGTCTGTCTAAGCTTTTACAGTACAGCATTACGCATGAGCTGTGCCTTCCCTGTTTTAGGCAATTCTTTCACCCATTCATCTAAACACAGATGAGATTTTGTCAGTGCTAGATCTGAGCTATAAAAAATTTTAATCATCTCCTTGACATATAACATTTCTGGTGCGTCAAAAAAACAGAGCAATCTAAAATCTTCTGGTGGGTCCCACATTACATTTCCAGTCTCATCACCACCATATTAGAGAAAATAAGCTGCTCCTAGATCACAGGTGGAAGAAAGATTTAAGACCATGTACTTGAGCATCCTGCTAGTTACTCAATGGGAGTTTCTCCTCCTTCAAACGAGAGGTACTGGTTAGCGCCAGGCTCTGTTGATTCAGTACGTAAACCCAAACCAGCTCCACAAAAAGTGGCCACATGCATCCAAAGCTACAAACTCGGAGAAATGACAATATTCAGTATTACATAGTCAATCTACCCCCATTTTCAATACATCTATACATTCCCACACCCAATAAAAAGAGATGAGATTACTTAACTCTTCCTCTGGGCTAGCGCTCAAAAAAATTAACTTGTTAACTTTACTCTAAAAACTTCTGGTTTGAAAACACATGCACTATTTTTGGTGCACTGCTAAGATGCCAACACATAGCTGCACTGTTATAAAAAGATTCATTTAATATTTTATTGGGCAAGCAAACCTGCCAACCTCCCCTCTGAGAACAGGCTATTTCTACAAAGCTTGTGAGCTGTCAGGCAAGTTTCTGAATTTTTACTCTAGCTGAACAACAGAAGATTAGCAAAACAGCTTCCGAGCTTAGCATCACCATATTACACCTTCCTCTCAGCTTCCAAGCTTAGCATCACCATATTACATCTTCCTCTGTCAAGGAAAGTGAGTAAAACCAAACTAAACCCTAAAAGCTCAATCCTATATATTTAAAATTGAAAGACAGACATCCTGATACATGCTACGTCCCTTGAATTAATTTCCTTCAGAAACAAATGGTAAGACAAGTGATATAAAACTGTTTCCCCTCTCCAGATGCTAGTGGAAATGAAGTCAGGCATCAGGTATGTTTTTGTTATTGCTCATATAAAACTGGGGTGCTAGGAAGGAGGGACAGAAGAAACCTGTGATGCAGTTAAGAACTCGTTCTAGCAAAAAAAGGCAACAGTGCAGAGTGTTGCAGTCGGATAGGGATGCTCAAGCTGGCAGCTTGTGTCCTGCATCATCTATACCCAAATAATTCTTAAATATAAGATTAAGATGAGTATCACTGAGAAGCCCAAGTCCTTCCAAGATGATCCTAGCAGTAGATGAACTGTTTTACAATTTCCCTTCAGAAAGGGGTAGATATCTGGTTTACAATAATGTGCCGCTCACTGACACCTAAGCTGCTATTTCCAACTCTTAAGGCATTGCAACACGAGAACCTATGTTGGTCAAATTATCACTTTTCAAGAACTGACTCCTGCCTAATAACCCAGGAACAGGAGTCACTAGGTGAAACGTCTTTGCCAACATTTCATTAGGCAACCTGACCTCAACCGCACAGCAGGAAGCAGATCTGAAATGTAATTTAGGTGAAGAGACAGGTTCAGCTCTGCTGGTCCCTGGGCAGTGGAGCAGGGTGTACCCCAGCCCATTCACACAACACCCAACACTCATAAGCACACAGGTAATTGAGTAATTGCTTCATATTGATTGTTCAAAAACCTCTCTCCTTAAGTTCAAAACCTAACTCTCTGACTTACTTTCTTCTCTTGAAAGACAAGGAAACAAACCAAAATCTGAATGTGTGAAGACTTGCTAACTTTTCTGAGGACTGTTGAACACTAAAGCTACATGCCTCTTCCATGTGGCAAAAAGCAACACTGGGTAATGCTGGGATTTCAAGTATAGCAAAGGTACGTAAGTGCATACTAATTCCAACAGAAGACAAGGCATTGGGTACGAGAAAGACCACGCTGCTTTTCCACACGGACTGATCCTGCCTGGGTCACCCTTGACCCATCCATTTCAGACAGCACGCGCTCCAGCTCCAACAAGAGTAAACCACAGACCCACAGGCCCATTTTCCTAATGATACAGGACAGATTGAAAGCATGGCTGGTGGAGAACAAAGGAAAAATACACCTCACCTCCAACTGTAAAATGCAACTTTACAGTCAGAGTGCTCCTCCCCAGATAAGGCAATTGGAAATGTTTAAAGCAGGGTTCATAAATCTCAATGAACCGAGATCACTCAAAGGACAGCATTCACTTTAAAAGAAAAACGCTACCATAGAGCTAATGTTAAGCCAGCTATAAAATGACTGACAGTACACCATATATCAATATGGCCATGTCACAAATACTGTGCTGTTGCTGAGAGTGAGGTTTCTAAACCAGCCCAGCTTAACAGCAGGCTATCCGCACAACTATTTTAGCAATTGCTTGTTTAGGAGTTCTCCTTCCTCTCCTGCTCAAGTGTAATTTGGTTTGCATTTTAAAACGACAGGGTTCTTCCTCCCCGCCCCCCAACCGCACTCATCCTTCAAAGTGATCTGTTTAAAATGATTACATCCTAAGGAGGATTCAAATGAATATAAACAACAGCTGAAAAAATAAATGCTTTCCAAGGGATGAGTAGAAAGGTGGTCTTTTTACTCCTGCCATGACATCTACAAAACACAGCAAGGATGTTTTGTTTTGCTTTCTTAAAGTTTGCGGAACATTTTGAGGTTTTAGCTCTGTTCAAATAGTACCTCTCAAAAAAAGCTTCATAGCCTCCAAGGACGTATTTCACTGGCAGCTTGACAACTATGAATAACATAATTGAATTAAACAGCTAAATTTGATTCAAAAAGAAAAGCAATTAATGTTTTTTTTTTTTCCACGGATGTATTAAAACAACCATATTATGACAAAGTTCTTAGAAGTGAAGACAAACTACACTCCTAATTACAAACCCATGTGTACATAAAATATTAGGATATCAAACTTAGAGCAAAGCTATTGCTGAACCCCGTATGAAGGTTATCCCTGTGCTAGGATTTCCAGCTCACTGATTATGTTCACCCCTGACCAGATAGAAGAGGTCATGATTTGTGAGCACAGTTAGACAAACATCTCCTTGCCCATCCCCTGCTGTTTTACTCTGTCCTGCAGGGCAAATTGTTTAACAACTTTTTTGTTAGAAGGCTTGTTAACAAGGCTATAGGGGATACAAGATGCATATCACATGCATCCATTCACAATGAAGGCTCAACGAGTTAAGATTAGCATGGCCAGCCCATTCACCTGCTTATTTAATCCCTGGTGCACGATAACTACATTAGAAGAGGAAGGGTGTAATACAGTAGCAATAAGCCACAATAAAATAACTATTACGTATTACACAAGTGATCATTCCCTAGCTACAGGACAAGTAACACGTTTACAGACAACTCTATAGCTCTGTACTTGGGAAATCTGGATCCAGAGCTGATGAGCAGAATTTGTATCAGCACTAGGACACAGCAACTTCTTCAGCTTTCGGGTCCTTTGAATAACTCTACTATTCAGAGCAGTAGGGAAGGAATGAAGACTGTATACTTGTTCATTCAACATCATTTAGATGGACCCTGTAAGTAAGAACTTTTTTGCCTTTTGTTAGCCAATATACAAGGACTGACAGAAGAGTTAACTGCTTTCCTCCTCTAACATGCTAGCGCAAAGACCAATTTTCCAACTGGAAGTCAAACGATCTGTCTCAGGGTACGTTCTTTTGACGAGCCATACTGCAAAGACAGGCTACCTGCATTAACAAAGGGAGGAAGCAGCGTGACAAAGCATCTCCCCACGCCAACACATCTGATTTGGATGTATTATGCTTGGCGCTGCATAGTGCAGATGGAAATACAAGCGCACGCTGCAGTTAGGCAAGAACCAAACCTCTAGCTGAGGAAGCGGCATTCTCACGGATGCTTCCCCCTCTCCTTAAGAGGGTGTACAGATTTAGAAAGAAAGAAATCTTGCCTTTTACAGTCTCCCATTGATTTTTTTTAAATTCTATTTTAAACAGCAGTCAGACTT